CCCTTCTCTTGCACTTTACACGGTCTTGCTCACAGCTCTTATAGTGACACCTTAGAACTTGACAAGGCATCGCAGTCCGTTCGCAGTTTAAATGTTACGGTTAAGGTTTCAAGTTTAAAGATGCCGCATAAAACTTCAAACCTTCAAATACTATTCGCTAAAACGGGGTTTCGGCTTGGGCGCCGCTTAAAAATTGAGGAAAATTTCCTTTGTCAACTTGCTCTTAAGGTTGAAGGTTTTGCGCTAAGGATTTAAGGTTTGGGAAATCGGGGTTTAGGATGTATGGCGTAGCGCGAACGTAACCGCACGAACCTCAAAAGACTGAGATTCGACAACCGTTTCGCAAGGTTTCACAAACAAGAGCCATCCTGCGTGCCTTAAAACAGCCCCGAACCGTTTCCCCGCACTGGTTCCTGAAGCTCCTCGAAGGCTCCCCGAAGAGGCTCCCCGAAGGTTCCCCGAAGCTCCCCGAAGCTCCCCGGAGGTTTTGGGAGCTCCCCGAAGGTTCCCCGAAGCCTGCTTGGCAAAGCTACAGCTTTGACCCAAACGGGCCCCCGAAACCCACCACCCCAAATTGTGTGTCATCTTCAAAAGACAAAGCCTCCAAATCGAGCCCACTCGGCCAAGGCTCCGACTCACCGCGCGGGGCCCGGCTCCCCGAAGCTCCCCGAAGCTCCCCGAAGCTCCCCGGAGCTCCCCGGAGGCTCCCCGAAGCTCCCCGGAGGCTCCCCGAAGCTCCCCGTAGGTTCCCTTTGAAGAAGCAATCCTTCCGCCATTTACGAAAACGGGCCCGCCAGGAGCGCAACTAGGCTGACAAGATGACAAAGTCACCACAAAGAAAGTGGTGCAGACCAGCTTATTTCCAAATCAGCAGAACACCCATCAGTGGTCATGAAAATCTTACAATCAGCCTCTTGCTATCCAGGCGCACGGTCACCGCGTTTTGATGCGACATTCTGATTCTCTACCCGTGCTAGCTCGAAGACGAAAATGCAGAGTCACTGGACGAGCTGCTCGTGCTCTCGGACTCAGTTTTTGGTTGGTAAGATTGAAAGAACAAATTCAAACTTAAAAGCAAGGCTTTAGGTTTGGATCCGGAGTGTGCCAATGTTCGAGATGTACGGGGTTCAGGAGTCATGAAAAAATTCTAGGTTTAGGTGTTGCCACCATTGAGCTAATAGTTTGTAAGTTGGTAGGTAGGGTTCGACCTGCAGCAGTAACCACTCTTCCCCGCCCAGCATCTCGGGGGGCCTCCGCAAGCGTCATCGGCCCCCTCCGCGGGAGGTTCCAGAGGGGGCTTGAACTAGAGTCTGGACTATAAGTGGAAACGAAGGCCGAAACCGGCACGGACTGGTCCCGAAAGAAATGGGGAGCCTGAAACCCGCCGGAAGTGGCCCAAGTCTGGGTTAGGAAAGGGGGGTTTGGGCCAGAAGAGTGTGTAACTGGAGAAGGGGAAGGACGAGAATGCACTCGCAGACGCTTAGAGGCGGGGGGCCCAGCTGAGCCGGACTCGAAACCGAGGCCTGGCATGTAATGGTGAGAATCGGGGTGGCGGCTACGGCTTCACGAGAGTCGTACATTCTCGGAGCGAGACTATACGGCCTTGCGAGAAGCGGTGTCTGGAACGACGTGAGGAGCGATGCGTAATGCGAAATGAAAGAAGCGGAGCTACTGCCGTGCGCGGGTCGTTTACCCAGGTCCCCGATCTCGGAGCTAGAATGGGTCTGCAACGACTTGGGGAGCGCTGTGTCGTGGACGCGATGGAAGAAGCGGAGCTACGGCCGGGATTTAACATACCGGGGAGAGAAAGGGGGGTCTGGGACGACATGAGGGGCGCTGCTTGGTGGACGAAATGGAAAGAGGCGGAACTACGGCCTTACACGGGTCGTTTACCATTATCGTTCAAAGATCGTGCTTTGTGTTTTGATGTCAATCGTGTTTGAACCTTCAGGGATGAATGCTTGCACTCACACATGTCACATGCAAGAAGTTCAAAGCTCGACGCTATTTTCACACGGTGGGGTAGCAAGTACCGCACACGGCAGATATCTTCGAACTGTCGGTCCTGTGAGACACAAGACTCTTTTCGTCCCCTCCGGAAGGAGAACTAGCCACTCTCAAGCCGTGCACGGCTCACAAACTGAACCTTAGTGAACGGCCTGCCAGTCCAAGACGAGCAAGGCCGAGCAGACTGCGAAGCAGAGAGCCAAGACCCGAACCAGGTCTTATGCACAAAGCATACCTGCCCAAAGAATCTTCTTAGGCTGTTAACAGACTATATATCCTAAAATAGACTATTAGTCTATTATAAGATATATAGTCAAAAATAGACTAGGATATAGTCTATTTTAAATAGACTATTATAGTCTATTTTAAACTATTGAATAGTCTATTTTAAACTATTACATAGGCTATTTTAGCCCTTGATTTTCCTCCAGGAGCTCTTGCTTCCTTGAATTCTTTTCAGGAGCTTATGCTTCCTGACTTAAATCTTGGACTGGATGTTTCAGGAGCTTAAGGCTTCCTGACTTAAATCTTGGACTGGATGCTTCAGGAGCTTCTGCTTCCTAAGGCGGCTTCTGGCTTATAATTTGCCCAAAACCCCAGATGCAGCACTCCTTTTACTCGCAGTCTCATCCCATGGCTTCCTTTCGAGTGGACTTCACTCTCAGTGAAACTTTTCATCCCAGAGCTGGCTGGCTTTCGAGTGGGCTTTGCGAGCCCACTCTACGGCCTTCTCTTTCCCCAAGCCGTGGCCAAGAGCAAGCCTCTTCGCCTTGGCGTAAAATCGAGATGTGTAGTGGTTCCTACTGTCCGTGCTTTTAAACACGGAGTCAGAGATAATAGTGCTGATCGCCTCCTGGTAGAGCTCCTTCTCCTCGCGGCCGGGCACAGGGGCAGGGTTAACAGACTCCTTCTGCTTCTTGGCAGCTGTGCCGGCTTCTGGATCTTTGGCAGCAGGCCGCTTCTTCGGCGAGGCTTCTGGAGCTTTGCTCGCAGGCCGTTTCTGGACAGCCGCCTCCTTCTGCTTCTTGGTGAGGGGCTTGGCCGGAGAGGCTGCCCAGGCATTCTGCAAAGCTTGCTGTGTCGCCCTTTGCATGAAGTCCATGCTTCCAGATGCCCTTGGCATGCAGCCCATGCTGCCAGAAGCGGGGGTATGGGACACCGGAGGAGTGACAGGTGCAGGTACGACTGCTGCTGCAGGCTCCGTCTCGGCATCCTTCGCTGGCCCGTCCTGGAGTGCAAGTACACCTTTCAGCGGCACTGTCTCCGATGGCTGCACCATGTCCTCCATTTTGAACTTCGGGTTGATCTGCAAGCAGAGGGCCTGCACCTGTTGAAGTGCCTGCTTGTCGAGTTTCTTGGGCATCTTTTCCTTGCCGGTGGCAACATCCCGAATCTTGCCGGCCAGCATTCTGAATCTCAGGTTGAAGTACTGCAGCGACGAGTCTTCCCAGCCTGCAGGGCTTTGAATTTATGGGTTTAGGGGCCGGGTTAGGCACTAGAGTCTTAGGATCCTTAGGCTATACCTATCATGAGATTATAAGCGCCCCCAGCCTGGCAACTTCTGCTGTGGAGCCTGTAGTACCAGGATGTCCCTCTTGAACAGGCCGAGCAAAGCAGTCTGGAGCAAGGCATGGGGTATCAAGCCATTGGTGCAGATCTCGAAGATACGGTTCAAGATCGGAGCGAGGAACACGACCTCCTGGATGTGTTTGCCCAGGGCCGTCTTCCATGAGCATTCATCCAGTCCTCTGCACAGCATGCCGAGTGTGTTGTGGCCCATCTGCCGCAACCCTTTTTCGACGGCATTTTCAAGGGCAGCTGCAGTCACTGACGGCAGCACCTTCAGCCGCTCGCCAACTGTCGGCAGTGCCATGGCAGGAGTCCTACAGCTGCAAACTAAAAAAACTGCACGGGAAAAACATACAATATATATACAACAACCATGCATGCGGGCACATCCTATGGTGTCACCGGATGCCTATAGGAGCTTCTAAGCTACCTTTTTTTTTAGGAGCTGGCGGCTTCCTCGCACATGGGTGGGACCGCCACGTCTTCACGAGGCGGTCCCGTGCGGATCCAGGACTGACACATCCTGGATTTCTTGGTTGCCTGGCTTCCTGGACCCCATTGGCTTGCGGGGTTCATGGAAGCCTTTCTGAGTATATGGTGCATTTGTGCCTTCTGTGCCTTTTCCTTGCTTATTGCATTTCTAAAGCGATCGAGTTGGCAGCTTCCTCGCCCTTGGCCTATCTTAATATCCCTCAGGAGCCTTTGGCTTCCTGGACTACAGCTCCTATAGATTCATGCACTCCTTTTTTCCCTCGCAGCGACTTCGATCCCTAGCATATATACACATGTGTCATGACACGTGCATTAAATTATAGCATGGAGCCACTACATGGCACTCATGCCCCGCCGTTTTTGCCGGCAGCCAGCTGCTGTAGCTTGAGGCCGAAGCGGAGGCAAGTCAACAGCCTCAGGGTTCGACGGGCAACACAGGCTTCTTTTTCCCAAGCTCTTTTGGAAACGAACCAGCTGTTGGGCAACACCTCGTTGAGGAAGGCGGTAGAAAGCCACGGGAAGTTCACGTGTTGGTAGCCCACCCACCGTTCCCTTTTGCACTTGCGAGCCTCTGGGTCGAGCTCCTCCTCTCGGGCTTTCTGCAGAGCTGCCTCCACGAGGTCCTTGCCCTCAACGGCTTGGTCGCCCTCGTCTTTCTGCAGAGCTGCCTCCACGAGGTCCTTGACCTCAACGGCTTGCTCGGCCTCGTCTGCCATGGCTGTACTACGGAGGCGAGCGGCGAGCTTGAGCTGAAAAACGGCTGCAGCAGATACGACATGCCCTGAAGATCCTACAAGGAGGCCGAGGCTTAGATTGCTTCAGAACTGCAGGCGCTCAAAATCTCAGAGGAGCCCGAGGCTTCCTTCAGCAATTAAGGAACGAGGAGCCCGAGGCTTCCTTCAGCAATTAAGGAACGGTCCCATTTTTTCTCCTCAGAGCGGCGGTCCAGGCTGTGCAAGGATCTCTGCCAGTTCGATTGACATGGCATCTGTGTACTGCCGCATGAAACGATCCAACGAAGTCAGCATCGTCCGGCTCTTGGTACACATCTTGAGGAGACCCTTGCATTTGGACATATAATCCTCGCCGGAGTATGTCCAAGTCAGCTTGGGGGAAAGATGCCTCGCCAGCTGCAGCCCATGCAGAAACCAGTGTGTCTTGAATGTCAACTGGAAGGCCAGATGGCCCTGCTCCAGAAAGGACTTATTCAAAATCGTCATGCACTGGAAGAGACAAACGGCCGTGAGCATCATCCGATCCGCCACCTCTTTCGAGGGCTTCCAGTCTTCGATGCCATCTGCCATTTGGTCCAAATCGCGGCTGAAACTCAAAGCCAGGGCAATCTGTTGGTGCTCCTCGTTGTCCTGTTGCAGGTGCTGTTGGCAGATGCTCGCCAAAGCTGCAATAACGCCCTTAGTTTCTGCTGCCTTGGCCTTCAAGCGAGGGTATCCCTTTCTGCAGTGAATATCCTGTGGGTCAGCCAGGACCATGGTCTGAGTGATGTAGTTGATGCCATTGCCCTTGTGCTGCCGCCAGTAGTCCTGCAGGGGAGCTGAAGCTGCCTACACACTACAACTTTTATATACCATGTCTCACAACAACAGGAGCTTAAGCTGCCTATACCATATCTGAAAACAGCAGGAGCTTAAGCTGCCTATACATATCTGAAAACAGGAGGAGCTTAAGCTAGCCTATCTGAAAAAAAAAGGAAAGTTCACAGCCTTCATCTGCAGCAATACATTGTCCAGGTTTTCCTCTACTCCGCCAGGAAGGATCCTCCAGCAGAGAACCCACAACGTTGAGCCAGCCAGCCGCTGGTCGAAGCCGAGGTGCTTGCTGTGCATCCAGTCCGGAATCACACCACTGGGGCTCACAAGGTGTCGCAGGAGAGGGCAGCAGCTGCGGCGAGGGCAGTGCCATGGATCCACAGGAACCTCCGCCACGTTTTTGTAGTCGAACATATTGTCTTTGCTGATGTTGCAATGCCCGCAAGGGAAGTTGGAATTCCACCGTGGCAAGTTGTGACTCGTGTTGTACCATTCCAAGTCACCAGTCAGAAAAAGGAGCACCGGGAACAAGTCATTGTTCGTCTTGCATTCTTCGAAACATCGTTCAAAGGCCCGAACGACGTGTCCCCAGATGCTGGCCACAGTGTTGCCACAGGAAGACACCACGATCTGCTCAGTCCAAACAGCACTTATCAGCACATGGACGAGCTTTGAAGAGGTCTGTGAGGAGAGCAGGCTTCTCCAAGAGATAAAAGCACAAGACCTGTCCTTGCTGTCAATCGGAACTCCATCGCCGTGCAGGATCAGCGGTACCGCTCTGGATTGGTAGTTCTTGATCTTCTTCACGGGATGGTGCAGGAGTGCAGGGTGCGAGGAGCCGACCTCTCGCCAAAAGTTCGCTATGTCACCATCGTTCCTGCAGCATAACTCACGGAAGACCATTGGCTGTCGCTGCAGCGACCGAAACACGTCAACAGGGTCCAAAACGGGATCGCAGCCCGGAGAGCTTTCTTGATGGGCACACACACGTTGCTGCTCACAAGAGCAGGCATTTGAGTGTGCCTCAATAGGTCTCTCCGGAGATTTCCCTGATATAGGCCCCGAGAGCCGAGATTGGCAAGTATGCGAATCTCGGCTTTCACTGGCTCCAATGCATCTTCTTCCACCAGTGCAGCCACCACCTGTACTTCTGGCAAAGACATCTTCCCCCAGCCGAATGACCGCAGAAGGTGGGTCGCCAATCGGCTGGGTTCTGGAACTGCTGCCGAAGTTTGTGCAGCACGTTTCGCAGCTCTTTGTTTGGATCCTCCCCGCTGCATGATGTCCGGATCCATGGCGGCACACATCTCACAGATCTACTGCAAAAAATTCAAGGCTTGGGAGGACTGCTGAGGATAAACAAATATTGTCTAGCGGCCACAAAACAGGAGCCTCTGGCTTCCTTAATTGTACATTAGCTTTAAGGAGCCTCTGGCTTCCTTATCCTACATTATCTTCAAGGAGCCTTCGGCATCCTCATATACGTGTGCTCCTCGAAAAAAAAACCCTAAGCCCTATAACCCCTTTGGGTGCCCTGACCCCTTTGTGGTTTAGAACAGGTATACCCTAAAGACCCTAAGCCCGAACCCTATACCCTAAAGTGCTATTGTGGAAAAACCTTAAAACCTTAAACCCTTACAGACCCTAAAACCCTAAGGGTTTGGAGGGTTTAGGCTTAGGGGGGTTTAAGGGTTGATGGCTTTCAGGGTTTAGGGTTTGGGGCACTGGACTCTTCAGGGTTCTTTTCAGGGCAGGCTTAGCGGGTTCAGGGTTTAGGGGGTTACGGTTTAGGGTATATCTTTCTATCTTATATATATATATGTGTGTATATATATATATATGAATATATATATGAATATATATATATATATATATATATGAATATATATATATATATATATATATATACATATACATATATACATATATACATATATACATATATACATATATACATATACACATATATACACATACATATACATATACATACATATACATATACATATGCATATACATATGCATCTACATATACATATACATATACATATACATATACATATATATACATATACATATACATATATATATATATATATATATATATATAAATAAAAATGTATATGTATATGTCAATGTATATGTATATATATATATATATATATGTATATATGTATATGTATATGTATGTATATATATATATATATACACGTTGGGTGGTGGGTGGTGGGTGGTGGGTGGTGGATAGCGGGCGGTGGGCGGTGGGTCGTGGATGGTACGTGGCGATGGGCGGTGGGTGGTGGGTGGTGGGTGTGGGTGCCGTGGGTGCTGTGTCGTTGGTGGTTGGTCGTGGGCGGTGGGTGCTGGCTGGCGGGTGGTGGGCGGTGGGTCGTGGATGGTTGCTCGTGGCGGCGGTGGGTGGCGGGTTTTGGGTGTGGGTGCCGTGGGTGCTGGGTCGTTGGTGGTTGGTCGTGGGTGCTGGGTGCTGGGTGGTAGTGGTGGGTGCTAGGTGGTGGTGGGTGTTGGGCAATGGGCGGTGGGTCGTGTGTGGTGTTTGGGTGGTGCTGGCTGGGTGATTTTCCGGTGGTCTTTTTCGTCCGGGCACTGAAAAATTCAGTGCCCGGACAGAAAGCGCCACCGGGTGAGTTGGGTGTTGAATCGAAGTTTCATCGAAGTTTCGATGAAACTTCGATTCATGAGTCGAAGTTTCATCGAAACTTCGATCAAACTTCGATTCAGTGAATCGGAGTTTCATCGAAGTTTCGATTGCTCCGAGTCGGAGTTTGATCGAAACTTCGACTCGTGAGTCGAAGTTTGATCGGAACTTCGACTCATGAGTCGAAGTTCCGATCAAACTTCGATTCGCAATCGAAACTTCGATGAAACTTCGATTGGGCAGTAGAAGTTTCGATCAAACTTCGACTGCTCGGAATCGAAACTTCGATCAAACTTCGACTGCATGAGTCGAAGTTTGATCGAAGTTTCGATGAAACTTCTACTATGTGAATCGAAGTTTCGTCGAAACTTCGATCAAACTTCGACTCCTTCGGTGGCGCTTTTTTACCGGGCATTGAAAATTTTCAATGCCCCGTGAGAAAAGCACCACCGAAGGAGTCGAAGTTTGATCGAAATTTCGACGAAACTTCGACTCACCTTAAGCCCTACCCTAAACTCGCAAACCAGAAGCCCTGAACACCTTGCTATCCCCAAGCCCGTGAAAACCCTAAACCTTATAACCTAAACCCCTAAAACGTCCTTAAACCCTAAAGCCCCTAGCTTAGACCTAAACCAAAATACCTAAGCCGAATACCCTAAACCCGTACAAATAAACCCCTAAACCCACGTTACCTCTAAACACCCTCCCACCCAAACCCGAAACCCCCGAATCTCAAACCTAAACCCTTATACCCTAAACCCCTGAACCCACGTTACCCCCAAACCCGAAACCCTCGAATCTCAAACCCAAAACCCCATACCCTAAACCCCTCAAACCCTAAACCCATGAACAGGCTACATCCCAACTCTAAACCACCGAATCTCAAACCCTATACCCTAAACCCCTAAACCCCTGAATCCTGAACACCCGAACATCCCAAATCCAATATCGTGAAAACCCTAAACCCCTATAACCCCAGCCCGCAACCCTCAATTATAGCCTAACCCTTTAACTCGAGAAAAGCTGCAACCAAAAACCCTAAACCCGAGTACTCCAGAAAACCCAGACACCTCAACCAAAAAAATCATCTATCTCAAAACTTATGGCCCTGCAAACCCTAAAGCCTCAGAGTTTAACTTAAGAAACATCCACCAAACCCGAAGATAAAGTCTTCTTTGGAGGAGCCGAAGGCTTCCTTTGCAACATACACCTAGGATATATATAATATTCTCTTAGGAGCCTTTGGCTTCCTAAAGCTCACATGCATACATGCACTTCTTTTTCGTCGCAGCAGCTGCTTCGATCCCCAGAGCAAACATGCACATGTGTCATGACACGTCGATCCTAAAAGACGAATTGTAGAATGGAAACATTCAAAATCAAATGAGGGCAGTCATGCCCTTGATCAAATCCTGGGCTGCGAGCAGGCCAGTTGCAGCCTTTTGCAACAGCGACCTCAGCTCAGCAAGCGAAAGGTTCTTGAAGAGCTTCGCTTTCTCGAGATCCGAGTGCAAGGGCATCAAGTCCTCCCAAGCCTTCTGGAGCTGGCCCTTGAGGGTCGTCCACACCGAGCTTTTGCTCAAAGCTGCCGTCTCCTTTGAAAGCACTTTGGAAACACTGATCCTCGTGGCATTTGCCCACTGCAAGGCTTCCTCCACCTTCGTACTAGCTTCCGCAGTCCAGCTCTCTGCTCCCGGTTTGTCACACAAAGCCAGAAGGCCACCCTGGAGCTCTGAGCCACATCCAGCAGCACGGTCCGGTTCCAGGCATGGTTGGAAGTTTGCGAAGAAGCTGTCGAATCCCTCGGCGGCGGAGTCGGTGATGCTCTGGTCGGGCTTCCTGAGCTGATGGGAACAAAACTTAGTATCTATAGCTCATTCAAGCTTTTAAAACATAAGCCTCTAAATGCTCCGTAGCTTCGATGTCGACATCCTATTGTTGGTGCCAGTCTCATTGGTGACGACGATCTCTCTGAAGCAGTAGAACAAGGAACCATTGTTGTTCACCTCATACACATCCCCGGTGGCCAGAGCTTTCTTGAAAGCTTCCTCCCCTCCCAGCTTGGCCACCATCAGTGCTCTGGGTTTGCCCTTCACCTTGTCCTTGCCACAAACCTTCTTGTAGAAGGTGCTCAGCTGCTGGAGCACGGCGGACTCGGTGTTCAGCTTGTACATCTGGCCGGCCTTGCCCCCGGATTTCTTCTCAACCGCACCATTGATGAGCTTCGTCTTGTCGGCCTCAGATGGTTGCACAGCAGGAGCCAAAGGCTACCTCAAGGATCAAAAGCCTATGGCAATTATAGCAGGAGCCAAAGGCTGCCTCTGACGGTGCCTCCTTTATAGGGCCAAAGCCTAGATATCAAAATGTGGCAAGGCACCCGTGACACTTTCTCAGAGAGAAACAACTTCTGGATATCGTCCGGCATGGTGCTCAAGTGCTTCGAGAACCACCATGCCTTGTTCTTGTCCCTGCTTTCCCCCTGCCCGGCAGGCGGCTGGGGCTCGCTGTTGCAAAGCTGCAGGTCGCCCAGCTTCGCCGCTTTCTCACGGTCCTGGTCCGAGCGAGACTTTTTCGCCTTGCTGCTTTCCTCCGGCGGGCTGCCCGGTCGCTTCTCCGTACCGTTGTCGGGGGGGTTCGGCTCTTCGACCGTGCTTCCCTTGCCCTTGGCCTTGGCTTTGGCCTTGGCTTTGGCCTTCGCCTTGGCCTTGGCTTGGGGCTTGGTGGCCTTGCTGTCGCTGTCGGCCTTCTCGTCCTGCTCGTGCTCCTGGCTCGACTCCTGCTGCTTCTCCTCCTTCGCCACGGCCTCGTCGTCCGCCTTCTCGTCCTCGCTGGACTTCTCGGACTTTGCCGCCTTGCCTTTGGCCTTTGCTTTAGGCTCCTCGGCGGCCTTGCTTTTGGCCTTCGCCTTTGCCTTGGCCTTGGCTTTGGCCTTGGCCTTGGCCTTGGCTGGCCTTGGCCTTGGCCTTGGGTGCAGCCTCAACCTCGCTAGCTTCAGGCTCTTGAGGCTCCGGGACTTCCTGAACTACCTCCACTTCTTGAGTGTCTTCTTGCTGAGTGTCGAGCTCTGGCTCACTACCCTTTCCACCGAAGAACACGTCCAAGGCACTCTGGCTCATGGCTTCAAGCGAGGGTGAAACACGTCTTGTCTTGAGCTCCAGGACTGCAGCACGGTATGCAGATGACAAGGGGCCTGGGCTGACATGGGAGCCTCTAGAGTGCTACAGTAATCCTCGGCCACGGTCAAACTCTAGCTTCAAGCTTCAGGAGCCCAAGGCTTCCTGTTCTAAACCCTCTGAGGAGCCTGAGGCTTCCTGTCCTAAACCTTCTGAGGAGCCTGAGGCTTCCTGCCCTATTGAAAAACTGCAAGAAGCTCGCAGGCGGGTTTAGGGTTTGGGGCTTTAGGGTTTAAGGGTTTAAGGTTTAGGGTGCATATAGTGCTCCTGTTATAATTGCTGCACCTCTACCACTTCAAGGAGCCTGAGGCTTCCTGCCTTAAGTCACTTACAGTACACAACACGGACACAAAACTTTTTTCTGCAAGAACCGATCGTGCATTATGCTCGCTGCATGGTCACACGGCTGGAGTTCCCCAGCTTTGCGAGGAACCCCATCCACCAGAGGAGCCCCATCCACCGCCGTTCTTGTCACCGTTCGAGCCATCTTTGGGATTCCAGGGGCCCCATGTCTGATCGTCTTCCTCTTCTTCATCGTCATCTTCCTCGTCATCCTGGCCCTTGGAGCCAGAAGCACCTGCAGGGGGGTTTACTTGCATGGGCAGGGACAACACTCTAAGGAGTTATCTACATATATATATAATATATAATATAATATATTATATATAATATACTTATAGGATATATACTTATAGGAAGGAGCCCGAGGCTGCCTGCTATTTATAATATATATATATATATATATATATACTTACAGGAGCCCAAGGCTGCCTGCTATTTATAACACACTGGCCTCCGTGCCGCTTGCTCCACCACTCAGCCCGCTTCTTGCCACGGGTTCCTCGCTTTAAGCGCCACCCCCCCGTGGTTGGACGTTTGCCCGTGTACAATGCCTCGGCTGTATGGATTAAATTTCGGCCTTAGGGTTGAGGGTTTAGGGGTTTAGGGTCTAGGGTCTCAAAATAAGCTAAGCTTCGCAGGCCGGGTTGACACATGTGCCGGACTGGTAGTAGCTCTGGGCATGGCAGACTTTGCACCATCGTAGGTCGAGGCGAGGTCCTGGAAGCAAGCATTACGATGCCACCAATATCCTGTAAAAAAGGAGCCGCTGGCTACCTGATTTATAAATCCTGTAAAAAAGGAGCCGCTGGCTACCTGATTAAACCATGTCCTGCACGAGCTTGTCCACCTGAAAACCCAGCAGCTTCTGGTCGACCTTCAGCTTGTGGACGTGGAGGTTCCTGCGGTGGGAGTGGAGCTTCTCGAGCTTGAGGTTCAACTTGAGGTGGTGGAGGTGGAGGTCGAGGTGAAGCTTGTGCTTGAGCTTGAAAGTGAACTTCACCTTGAGCTTGAAGTGGAACTTGAGGTGGAGCTTGAGGAACTTGAGGTGGAGCTTGAGGACCTTGAGGTGGAGCTTGAAGTGGACCTTGAGGTGGAGCTTGAAGTGGACCTTGTGGCCACGTGCAGCTGGGCCAGCCTAGCGGAGGAGGCCACGTGACTCCAGGCCATGCTTGAGGAAACTGCCAAGGGTAGCCTGGAGCCCAAGCATGTCCTTGAGGCCAGCTGAACGGCGGCGGCCCTTGCGGCGGTTGAGTATGCCACCCTTGCGGCGGCGGCCCTTGCGGCGGTTGAGTTTGCCACCCTTGCGGCGGCGGCCCTTGCGGCGGTGGTGGACTTTCAGGAACAGCTCGCCGCCACGGGGGAACTCCAGCACCTGCAGCAGGGATCTGGATCGATTACATGCCTTAGATTTTGCCGGGTCCAGCCTGGGCCTTGAGTCTGCTCCGGACCAGTTGCCCACGGGGAGCTTTGACAACCTGCAGGCCGGACCAGAGCTTAGGAGCCTGTGGCTGCCTGATCCATCCTACTTAAAAGCTGAAGGAGCCATGGGCTTCCTATATTAAGCCTTAGAACTTGTCGGGGTCGAGCCTGGGCCTTGAGTCTGCTCCGAGCCAGGTGCAGCCGTGGAGCTTTGACAACCTGCAGGCCGGACAGGAGCTTAGGAGCCATTGTCTTAGATTAAAAGATTTTGTCGGGATCGAGCCTGGGCTTTGAGTCTGCTCTGGGCCAGGTGCACCCGGTCTCCACGTGGAGCTTTGAGCACCTGCAGGCCGGACCGGAGCTTAGGAGCCTGTGGCTGCCTGATCTATACTTATAAAGCTGAAGGAGCCATTGGCTTCCTAAATTTTTGAAGTGGCGCCTGAGCTGGAGGCCGCCTGCTGCAGCAGTTGCTCCAAACGGGCTGCTGCCTCTTCTTCAGCCATGCAAAGCTCAGCTAGCCTCTCTGCTGCCTCGTGAGTTTTTTTGGCAGCCTCCTCGTGCATCTTCGTCTTCTGTTGAGCCCTTGCTAGAGCTTCTGCCTTCTTTTTCTCAGCTTCTTCGAGCTTCGCCCTCTGAGCCGCCTCAGCGGCAGCCTTGGCCCTCTCAGCCGCCTCAGCGGCAGCCTTGGCCCTCTCAGCCGCCTCAGCGGCAGCGGCTGCCTTCGCTTTCTCCGCCGCCTCATGGAGCTCCGCAGATTCCTCGAAGCTCAGGTCGATCACTTCCGCCTCCATCGGCATTGGCATTTCCGGACCTGCAGCACCAGTACCGGGGATCACTTCCGCCTGCACTGGCACTTCCGGACCTGCAGCACCAGCACCGGGGATCACTTCCGCCTGCACCGGCACTGGCACTTCCGGAGGGCCCTCCTCGTCCACCTGCATCGGCTGGTTCGGGGCAGCACCAGCACCAGCTGCACCATCTTCAGGGGCCGTGCGAACGACTTCCCATCCATCGTCGACACGGCCCCACACGGCCACCAGCAGCACAAGAGCTGCCACCCTCATGGCTTCGAAGGGCACTAGCTTAAGAGCTTCGAGCACAAAAGCTGCAGATATATGCACATGCATTAAACAAGCACTCACACTCTACAGGCATGCAAACACTCTAGAGGAGCCTTGGGCTTCCTGTCGATCATTACTCTAGAGGAGCCTTCGGCTTCCTGTTCCTCTCGATCATTACTCTAGATCTAGCCTTCGGTTTCCTGTCTCGCTACGAATCCTAGCTCTAACCTTAGGAGCCTTTGGCTTCCTGCTGACCCTTTCACATGCCAAGTGAAGGCACTGATGCAAGCAACTTATTGTGGCCTTGCAGCTCAATGCCAATACGATGGCATTTCAAGACATAGAAAATTAGTCTATTTTAGGATATTTACATATCCTATAATAGACTATTTAGGCTATTTATAAATAGCCTATATATCCTATAATAGGATAGTATATATCCTATCAATTAACAGCCTAAGAAGATTCTTTGGGTGAGTGTCCTCAAACTGAGGTCCAAAGCTTCCTGAAGCAGCACAACACTGATGCAATCTCTGCACTTTCCACGAATCAATTAGGGTGGAGAGGGTGGGTATTTCAAATAAAACTCTCGCCCGATTCAGGGCTTCCTGCCCCTTCGAGAGGTCAAGCTGCAACGGACGAATGTATTCTTCAACTGGTTTACAGCATGTATAAGTGAGGGTTCATGAAAAGGCAGTGTAAAAGAAAAGCCCTAAAACAACAAATCAAAATTGGACTCAGTTCTCTGAGTCATTTTGTCATGTTGTTTTTCTTCGAACGATAAAGCCATATCTTCTGCAAGTGTTCAAAGAATGTAACAGACCCGCCACCTCGGGGTGGGAAGGGGGGTCTGGAACGACATAGGAGCTTCGTGGTGGCCGAAATGGAATGAAGCGGAGCTACGGCCTGACGCAGGTCGTTTACCAAGACTGAGACCCGCCACCTCGGGGTGGGAAGGGGGGTCTGGGACGACAAGAGGAGCTGCGTGGTGGACTAAATGGGAGGAAGCGGAACTACGGCCTTACGCGGGTCGTTTACCAAGACCCACCACCTCGGGGTGGGAAGGGGGGTCTGGAATGACATGAGGAGCTGCGTGGTGGCCGAAATGCAAAGAACCGGAGCTACGGCCTTACGCGAGTCGTTCACCAAGACCCGCCATCTCGGGGTGGGAAGGGGGTCTGGAACGACATGAGGAGCTGCGTGGTGGACGAAATGGAAAGAAGCGGAACTACGGCCTTACACGCGGGTCGTTTCCCAAGACCCGCCACCTCGGGGTGGGAAGGGGGGTCTGGAACGACATGAGGACCTGCGTGGTGGACGAAACTGAACTACGGCCATACACGGGTCGTTTACCAAGACCCGCCACCTCGTGGGTGGGAAGGGGGGTCTGGAAAGACATGAGGAGCTGCGTGGTGGACGAAATGGAAAGAAGCGGGGCTACGGCCTTACGCGGGTCGTTTACCAAGACCCGCCACCTCGTGGTGGGAAGGGCGTCTGGAACGACACGAGGAGCTGCGTGGTGGACAAAATGGAAAGAAGCCGAACTACGGCCCTACGCGGGTCGTTTACCAAGACCCGCCACCTCGGGGTGGGAGGGGGGGTCTGGAACGACATGAGGAGCGTGGTGGACGAAATGGAAAGAAGCGGAGCTACGGCATTACGCGGGTCGTTTACCAAGACCCACCACCTCGCGGGGTGAGAAGAGGGGTTCTGGAACACGAAATGGAAAGAAGCGGAACTACGGCCATACGCGGGTCGTTTACCAAGACCCGCCACCTCGTGGGGTGGGAAGGGGGGTCTGGAACGACAAGAGGAGCTGCATGGTGGACGAAATGGAAAGTAGCGGAGCTACGGCCTTACGCGGGTCGTTTACCAAGACCCGCCACCTCGGGGTGGGAAGGGGGGTCTGGAACGACACGAGAAGCGTGGTGGACGAAATGGAAAGAAGCCGAACTACGGCCATACGCGGGTCGTTTGCCAAGACCCGCCACCTCGGCGAGGGAAGGGGCGTCTGGAACGACATGAGGAGCTGCGTGGTGGACGAAATAGAAAGTAGCGGAGCTACGGCCGAAACGGAAAGAAGCGGAGCTACGGCATTACGCGGGTCGTTTACCAAGACCC